ATACATTTTATATTACTGGGTTTTTGTTATATTGTTTTTTAAGTAGAAGCCACTGAAGCTGGGAGGGTGCTTCACAGCCACACACCAGCACAGCTATTTTTAGTTTGTTAAAAATAACAGTGTGGCCACAGTGGCACAGGTAACAGTCAAAGCTAGCTGCCAGAGTACAATCCTTACCACCCCCCTGGGTATGTACTCAGGTGGGTCTCCTGAGCTGCCACTGTGGACAACCTACTATTTTTTGTGGTCTCGCTTGAGCAGAGCTAGTGCATGTCTTTGTGCCCACGTTGGGAAGCACACTCCCAGTTGTAGTATAGACATACCCTGTATGGGGGTTAAGGAAAAGGACGCTGTTTCTAGTGGTTTAAAATATTGCATAAATGTTTCTCATAGAATTTAATTAGGTTAAGCCTCTAATACTTGGTTTAAACAAATTCCTTAAAATACTTGTTTAAATGAAATTTCTTTATTTGGTGGTTGATGATTTTTAACTTGTATGCTTCCACATCAAAACCTTAAACTTTTAAGACTGCTTCCAAGCTCATGAACTTCTGCCTACTCACTTATGACCAGTTTCACACCGGTGAAAGGATTAGGGTTATTTTCCAGGGATCCAGAAATTAGGCATGATACCATTAAATAGCAAAAAAAAAGTGACATTTCAATTTATGTAATCGAGTAAAGATGCAGAAAAATACTTATTTTAAAAATACTTGGGAAGGGAATGAGTTGGAAAGATTTTAAAACTTGGATCTGTACTATTCTACTGCTTCTCATTTTGGGCCACATAATTTACATCAGAAATACAAAGCTTAAACTTGAGAAATGTTGTTCTTTGCTGAAAACATTGGGCCATATTGTTAGCTGGTGTAAATAGGTATAACTCCATTGACGTTAGTGGAGTTACACTGATTTACATCAGCTAATGATATGGCCCATGATAACATATCTCTTTAATCTTTCTACGCTGTTATTTTTTGGTATGTCCTTTACTTCAGGTCTGGGTAGACTGAGATGGCATATTTGAGCCCCAGTTAAACTCCTGCCCCAGGTAGAAAGCTGGATGATAGTACCCATATTGTATATTGGAAAGTAGCTATTAAATACCTGACACAGTAGTTTACTGCAAGTATATCAGAGGAAATGATCTTTGCTGAACCTAAGGAGTTTCTATAATGAAGTAACTGTGTACACACAAGGTTGGGGATATGCCTTGGGTGTATGATGTTAATAAACAACAAGTGTGTGTTTCTAAAAACCTAAGTAACAAAACATTGAAATACTCCTTTGTTTGGAATGGAAATTTGTGTGATTGATATATCTATATATATATCTATATAAAAATAAATAAATGAGGGTAAGTTTCTCCAGTAACTTATAGTGCACCTCTACCTCGATATAACGCTGTCCTCGGGAGCCAAAAGATCTTACCGCGTTATAGGTGAAACCGCGTTATATTGAACTTGCTTTGATCCACCGGAGTGCGCAGCCCCACTCTCCCGGAGCACTGCTTTACCGCGTTATATCCGAATTTGTGTTCTATCGGGTCGTGTTATATTGAGGTAGCTGTATACTTAGGATGTGATTCTTATTTATCATTTAACAATTCAAATCAAACCCTCATTTCTAGATTGATTGGCTCAAAATTTAGCCTCTTTTTAGTTTTTTTCTCTAAGTTTGCAAAGTTCAAGTAATTCTTTAAATGTGTAACTATTCTGTCAAGACATGCTTTAAAGCTCTTTTAAAATGCAGATTCCTGTTGTTCATGTGGAACCCTACAAGAGCACATCACTATGCACGCATGGTGGAGGGAGGAAATCGTTTTATAAGGAAAGCTTGTAATTTAAATTTTCCAAGGAATAAGGAAACTAAAGGTTATGAAAATATTTGGATACTTCGTGTGACTGATTTGGAGTTGCTTTGTAATAATTTTTGAGTACAATATGTTTATCTGTTGTAAGGGGTTTACTGTGAATATATTGGTTTAGTTTAATAGCAAGCTGTTGGAAAAATAAGCAGGAATGTAAAAATGACGATGCAAGTTATGACCTTCCTCAACAAACACTTAGGGGTTATTACCAGACAATGGGGGAGGGCATTTGCCTGGAGGAGATTGATTTGGCCTCCTGCAGAACCCACCAAACTGGTTTTGGACTAACTGGGCTTAAAATAGCACAGGAAGAGAGAATAAAGAACTGGCAGGATAAAAAAGGATCTCTCTCTCTCTCTCTCTCTCTCTCTCTCTCTGGGGTAGTTACTTTTGGGGAACAGACTGAGACTCAGGCCCCCAGAGGTTTGGGATGCGAGGGAAGATAGGCCTGCCTAGGAAGTAAGGTAGATGTGTGCAGACCTTTTTGTTCTTTTACAAATTCTTTTCTCTTATTGTTATGGTTACAGGGCACACCATATCTTAGGCCCCTTTTTATCCCTATTCGGTGCACCCCTCATATTACAGACCTGGCTTCCTGCACCTTACTTTGGGTGGAACCATGTACTCCAGCCACTTTAGACTGGATCTCTGGGCTGCGGCCCCCATTTCCCAACCATGTTAACACAACAGGCCCTGTAAGAGTTTCCCTTCAGTTTATGTTTGCAGTAACACAGAAACAGCACTACTCAGAGAGTCCTACATGCTGATTTCACCTTATCTATACCTTAATCTTTCCTTGCAGGTATTTGTAAGTTCCCCTTAGACAAGGTAACCCCTCATCTCTCGCTGGGAGAAGCAGACTGTCCTGCTTACAGGACACATGTTGTCTCTATGTGTTCCTTGGCATCAGTGGGCAGACAACCTACTTCCTGACCCAGCATATTAAGATTTAGGGTTCCCTTTGAACATAGGTTTAGGGCTAGTCCTCACTTGAAATGATATAGTGGCACAGCTGCAGTGCTGCAGTTGTGGTACTGTAGCGCTTCAATGTAGACAATCACTACAGCAACAGGAGGGGCTCTCCTGTCACTGTAGTTATCCACCTCCCTGAGAGGAAGTAGCTAGATCAAAAGAAGAATTCGTCTATCAGCTTAGCACTGGCTACAGTGGGGGGCTAGGTTGGCTTACTTACATCACTCGGGTGTGGATTTTTCACAACCCTGAGCGATGTAGCTGAGTTGACTTAACTTTTCAGAGTAGACCTGGTCTCAGACTTGGGAAGAGTAAAACTATCCTTAACATGGATACAGCCAGCTAGGCATTATTCCCCAGTAAACAGCTTCCCTATTGTTTCTTCAGGACTCTTATCTGCGTCATTGTTTTGCGTTCCCTGCTTGGTTCCTTTAACCCCTTTGATTATTCAGACTGGAGAATATTTTACAGGTAGCCCAAAAGAGATTATATTTGTAAATAATACTACACATAACTGCCTCATTCTCCGCACTTATGTTATTTGTTCTTTTGTTCCTACTGTTAAGATTAAACAATAGACCAGGGTTAGGCAACCTATGACACGTGTGCCGAAGGCGGCACGTGAGCTGATTTTCAGTGGCACTCACACTGCTTGGGTCCTGGCCACCAGTCCGGTGGGCTCTGCATTTTAATTTAATTTTAAATGAAGCTTCTTAAACATTTTAAAAACCTTATTTACTTTACATACAACAATAGTTTAGTTATATATTATAGACTTATAGAAAGAGACTTTCTAAAAACGTTAAAATGTATTACTGACACGCGAAACCTTAAATTAGAGTGAATAAATGAAGACTCGGCACACCACTTCTGAAAGGTTGTCGATCCCTGCAATAGACCATTTGAAGAAGGCTGTTTTGGGTCACTGTAATTCATTGGCTGCTAAGCTCCCAAATGGAAAATCTGGTTGGGCCTGCTGGGGAACCATGGTGCTGTAGACCAGGACCCTGTCTAAGAGCTAGAGAATCGTGTGATTGCACCTTAGGGAGGTAAAGGCATGAGGCCTAAGACTTAAGTGGTTGTTCTGAGAGATGCCAGAGAAGAGGTCAAAGGTGGAGCTAGCCTTGTAACCCTAACAATTCTTCTTAATGTTTTCCCTCTCAGTGTTTCTAGGACACTTACTGGTGTTGGTGTATATCCATGCAGTTTTGAATTATGGAATAAATTTTTCCTTGAGAATTCCTTAAAAACCTAAGAACATTAAAGTTTACTCCTGGGGGAATTCTGCGTCAATGACTTCTGACAGGGAAGCAAAGGGAAGCTGCAAGAACGGTCATGTGCCCACTCCCTGGCAGTGCAGACAGTTCGGTTTGGGCACCCAAAGCAGCTGGTAGAGACATAAATCATCGCCTGAGTGGGGGGGCTCTGGGTAGTCGTGTGTATGTGAGAGAGAGAGAGACACTCTGTCCCACTTGCTATTGCAGCACGCTCAGTGTGGAGGGGCAGGGCTTTGGGGTATTTCTGAAGAGGTAGGCATGGGGCATGCTCTGTTCCCTCAGGCAGAGGAGAATGTAGCAGCCGGCCTGCTTAGTGAATTGTTCCCATTTTTCGTAGTGAATTCCCCCGGGAGTATAAAACAGGTGTAAAAATTTTAAGGCTTCTTTACATTGCCAAAATGGTGTAAAGGAGACTTATTGTAAAGGACAGTGTGGCCTTATAAATGCTTATGGTGCTTTAGTGATTAGAACTGAAGTTTTGGACTGAAAAAATTTCTTACCAAAATGTGTTCCATGAACTGTTTTCTGCTGATCTTTGTGGAGATGGTCAGTAGCCAGTGTAAATTGTGAGTTTGAGACCCCAGCCCTCACTTGCTCTTCAGTTGCCTATGATGCAGCACTGAGCATATGGCTGCATATATTTGTTGACTAATAATTAGAAGTAAAGAGTCAATACTAGCTACATTACTATTAGACTGAGGGGGGTTTGGTGATTTCCTCCAATGCTCCCCACTCCCATTCTCCATCCATTGTATTGTAGTTTAAATAAATTGCCAAAATAATTGAAACTAGCTGGATTATATTGCATTATTCTGACAAAAAATGCAGAATTTTAAAATATTGTGTGTGTGTGTGTGTGTGTGTGTGTGTGTGTGTGTGTGTGTGCGCGCGTGCAGAATTCCCTCAGGAGTAAAAGTTGCACTAATCTTTTGTGCATATGCCCATTCCATGGTGTGCATGCACCTCATATGGTAAAGATGGGAGTCTTTTCAGTCATCAGTACCCATCGGGTACACATGTCCTCGTGCTTCTCTGTGAGGGCATGTAAGGGCGAGGTGCACCTGCCACTATTCAGTTCCTCTCATTGACTCACGGCTTAGAGACAAAGCCCAACAGTAGAAGAGACTGCCAGCCTTCTTGATAGCCTTACTAAATAGTTCTACAGTTAGAGTATAGTAATAGTTTTTAATAGCTTTAGTAGTTCAGTTACCTGTTACAACCTTTAGATCTTACTTGCTCTAGCATTATTTGATTCACCTAGGTTTAAACACTGCCCTTCGTGCAAGGGAGCTCTTGCAGCTTCGGATGGATACTCAAAATGCCTCTACTGTCTGGGATAACTGCATATTCCCAGTAAATGTGTGATTTGCAAGTCATTCCGTTCCTGAGCTAGGAAGGATAGGGAAGCTCACCTTCAGGTCTTCCTAATGACCAAGTCAGTGAGACCTGCTTCTGAACCAGGCTCTCTAGACCCACCTGTAGCGGGACCTTCTGAGCCAGAGTGGATATGGACTCTTTACCTTCAAGAGCTCCAACTCGAATCACAACCATGATGACAACTTCCTTCTCAGTCAGACTGCAGGGAGCTAGAAGCCTCAGGGACAGGTTGCCCATGAGGGGTTTCTCTAAGAGGAAAACCTTCCCAAGGTGCTGAACATTGTCTGACACTTTGTGGCCCAGAATGGTTCCCGTAAATTATTCTGCACTTCTTTTCCTAAAGTTGTTTTGCGTTTCTGCTGCTGGAAAGTCTGTCCTGGATTCTCCCACAAAGCTAGTTGCAGTTCTGTGGAGAAGGTAGTGATTGATGTAAATGAAGTGACATGCGGTCTGATATCTGTGACTGAAAGGTCTTACGTAAATGTACAGTTTAATAGTAGTAGCGGTGTTCAGATACTACGGTGACGGGCACTCTCCAACTGCTCCATACTAAAAAATAAAAGAATTCCTTGTTCAGATAAATCTTTTTCAGCTTCATTTGTGAAGTGGTTTCTTACTTTGATTATTAATTTTATTACTCTTAAAATTATTAATAAAATTAGAATAAATTGATAATCTGTACTTCGCCAAATATGGTGGATGCCATTTCAATTCTGTTAAATACAGCTTTCTATTATTAGCATCATTTTCCAGAGAACTGATCCTGTCCCATTGACTTTAATGTTAATGGGATTTGGATATTAGCAACTGTCATGCAGTTTGTTGACAACTTTTTGAGAACCCGGGACTGCCACTCTCTGTGGAAAGCCCTGGCCACAGGCAGGTTTGTGGGACTGCAACCAGGGAAGAAAACACTGGGATGTGCCAAGCCTGGGTCTCCAGTGCTGGAGCAGGGTTTCAGTGAACAAGAGGAAGACCAATTTTCCATTTTAAAATAAGATTTTTTTATTATATTAAAGAATGTTATAGGTTTATTTTACATCATTATAATTAATGCTAGTCAGCACTTCCATTATTGGCCTTCTAATTTTAGTGGCTGTTACATTTCTTTGTATGGAACAATACTTTTATCATATTTTTAGGTTGAAAAGCTAGTTCGGGTACTTTTTAGCTTCAAAATAAAAAGGAAGTTAACAGTGTCAGACACTATATTGATTCTAATTATGTTGTATGTGCAATAATGTTTTTTTTTTCAAGAAAGATTCTGATACTTATTTTTAGCCAACAGACTTAGTCAATCACTGTACATCAGGGGAGTAATTCTCATATTGCTCTCTGATGTGTTAAACCACAGAAGTTACATAAGAGCCACTTTGATCTCTTGAGGGGCAGGAATCTGCTTTAAAAAAAAGTTTCTGAATGCAAATGTATATGATAGATGCTCTTCTGGATAAATAATTCACTTGGTTGAGTTCTTATATGTTCCCTTGATAATTTTTTCTTTCTTTTAATCCCTGCTCTCATTCTAAAGGGATGGAAAATACATGAAAGGGAGTGAAGAAAGGAACATGAAAGAGATGTAAATTTCCTCTAAGTGGTTTTAATGTTCCTGACACAAAACCCAGCCAACTCTAGTCTCTTCTTTGGTCTTTCAGCATCTCGTCTAAGGCCAGGTCTGCATGACAGACCTATATCGATATAACTACGTCGCTCGGAGTGTGAAAAATCCACACCCCTGAGCGACATAATTACACCAACCTGACATCCTGTCTAGATAGCACTATGATGAAGGGAGAGCTTGAGCTTCTCTTGTTGACATAGCCACTGCTTCTTGGGAGGTGGATTAACTACACTAGTAGGAGAAGCTCTCGCATTGGCGTAGTAGCATCTTCACTAAATCACTACAGTGGCGCAGCTGCACCAGTGCAGCTGCGCCGCTGTAACACTGTACATAACAACAAGCCCTTATATACACTTCTCTTCTCCCCCAGTCTAATGGCAATACAGCTCACTGGGAGAGGAAATCTTTGTCTATAACTCTCGATTGAGACTGTGAGGAGAGAATAGGTTCTGGAAACTCTTTGCCTTTCAGCACCTCTCCTTAGTGGTTACCGTATTCTCTGTTCTTTGGGGACATCGCCATAAAATTATCTGTGCAACAATAATCTTAACAAAAACAAGAATTATTAAAAACAGAAAATGAAATTAAAAGAAAAGAAATGGTTTGTGTAACATCTAGATAGATACTTCTCATAAACTAAACATAGAAGGCATTTTCAGTTTAGTTGCAGAGGAAAAAGAAAAATAAATAACTCAGATTTCTTGAAATCTCTCTGAACAATCTGTTCAGCCTGTCAGTTTCTGTTTTGGATCAGATAGCAGCAATCCTCTTTGTGCCAGAGAACTCTCTTATTGAGCCCCCTGATCCAGGGCTAGCTACTTCCACCACTTTCCAAATCAGTTTTGTCCAGTTAGCTACACATACATTAGGATTTGGACTCATCATTTTTTCTAGGCATGGATTGTTGAGGATACAAAGTTCCTTTTATGATTATTAATAGCCATCTTTCAAATGCTTAGCCTACTTCAGATATCACTTTTCACAGACCACCTTGACTAGTTGTTTCTAGTTAATCAAGTTTCTTGTTAAAACTCCCTAAGCAATTTTTTTGGCCAAGAAACACTAACTATGGGTAAGGTCCCCAGCCCCTCTGTCAAAATATTGCAGTGTACTTTCTTGTTTCAGGAATTTTTAATGAGTTATGAGCACAAAACAACGAGCCCAAACAGTTCTCTCACAGGGCCTTGTGCATCTCTGTAGTGACTCCTGCCTATCTGCTAGCCTACCATATAGTGATTTTTAACAGGTTCTGGCTTGTCAACTTGATTGGTTATTGTGGTGTAGGGAAGCGTGTGATCTGGGTCTTCAGTACTCAGTCTGCAAAAGAGCCAGTCTGGAGCATGGTGGGTTGAGTTGTCTCTCTGCCTTAGGTTGCAGCTGTGCCTGTCTCTCTGTTTGGTTGTTGTGTGTTAGATTTCTGTATTCTGAGAAATAAAGTGGTGTTATGTTGCAACCTTTCAGGAAGAATATTTGTTTGTTTCTAGATTTGGATCACTTGATGATTATCTTGTTCTGTTCATTCCCTCTGGGGCACTTGTCATTGGCCACTTTCGGAAGACAGGACACTGGGCTTGATGGACCTTTGGTCTGACCCAGTATGACCATTTTTATGTTCTAATTCTTTGCATATGCCATAAATATAACAGTTTTATGTGATGGCAAAGCCTTGCAGAAAGGGACTGAAGGGGATTCAGGAAATGCCTATGTGGTAGGGTAATACGCACTATGAGGGGTGTGATTTCTTAAGTGCACTAACATATTGTGCATATGCCATTCCATTGATGGTGTGCATGTGCCTCATATGGTAAAGACAGGCGTCTTTTCAGCCATCAGTACCCATCCTTATAGCTCCAGCATGGCCCAGCCAATTCTGGTTCACAAATCTATTGAGTCTCTCAGTATCTTAGTCCAGGACCTTACCTCTGCTTCCAGACCTACTGTGTAAGAACCAGGGACAGATTCCACACCTGAACCTAGCATCCCCTGCACCTCGCTGCATGCAGGCTGGATGGATGTCATCAGGACAGCAGGCTTGCTTCTCCTCAGTTATGGAAGTTATGATAAGCAGTAGAAAGGACAAGACAAACTTACCTGTCAAAATGGACAAGGTTCTCTCATTGGTGCCAGTGGAAATAATTGATTCCACATTTACCTTTCAATCCCGCAGACTCTCGATTTACTCAAACTCAAGATGAAGAATCTGTCTCTTAGCTTGATCATGGCGCACCTAGTGGTGATCTCATCTTGCCACGTACTGATTGAGGATCACACAACCGTGGTAAGGTTCTTGAGAGTCCTAAGTAAAGTATTCCCACCTATCAAAGAACCACCTCGGGACTTGAAATCTAGAACTCACAGCACTCATGGGACTCATCTTCAAGCCCCTGGTTGCCTCGTCTCTATTACACCTGTCAGTGAAAATGGAATTTTTGATAGTGATAACTTTGGCCAGAAGAGTAGGAAAGATTCAAGTGTTTATGACTGACCCTCCACATACAGTATTCTACCAAGATAAGGTATTAATGAAGACATATCCTAAATTTCTTCCTAAAGTAGTCACAGGCTTCCATCTCAACCAACCAGTATACCTACCAGGATTCTTTCAAAAATCTCAAAAATCCAAATCTGAGGCAACCTTGCATACATTAGATGTGAGGTGAGCCTACTTCCTGAATAGAATGAAACTGTATAGAACATTGCCAAACTTGTTTGTCTTCACTGAGGGAAGGATGATGGGCTCTGCAGTTTCAGTCCAGAGACAGCGTAATGGAATTTCTGATTGTATTAAAATGTGATGAGGTGACCAAGGTAGAGACACCAGCTACAATCAGGGCCCCTCCACCAACAGTGCAAGTTGTGTCAGTAGCATCACTGAGAAACTTAATATCTGACATTTGTAAAGCTGCTGCTTGTGTGTGAATCCACATGTTCACTTGATATTATACCCGAGTAGAAGCCTCTAAATCCATCACTACATTTTAATCATTATTTTGGTAACTGCTTAAACTTATACCTCCTAAATATGATAACTGCTTGGGAGTCACCATCAGTGGAATGAATGGGCATATAGACAATCACTCAAAGAAGAAAGGAAAGTTACCCATGTACAATAACTGGAGTTTGAGATCTATTGTCCATATGTACATTCCACAACCTGCCCTTTCATCCCCTATACCTCAGAGCCCTCTTGTAAGGGATTCGGCATTGAGAAGGAACCGAATGGTGGTGGAGAAGCACGAGGACTGAAAAGCACATGTATGCCCTACAAGTACTGCTGGCCAAAAAGAGTTTCATCTCTACTACGAAGCGCGTGCACATCATCAGTGGAATGCACATATGCACAACACAGCTTGAAGAACTCCAGTTACTGTACTTGGTAAGTAGTTTCCCTTCCCTAATGTGCTTTAATGGAGTGCTGTTTGTAAAACAGTACTATGTTAAAGTGCACCAGGGAACTTCTAGTGTGGAGTACATTAGTGCACTTTGGAAATTACACCCCCGTAGTTGCACATTACCCCATTGTGTAGACAAACCCTAGGTTACAATTTATGTTCTCCAGAACCCTGCCCAGTTATATCTGAGCTAGCCATGGTGCAGGCATGTAAAGACCTTATTAGTAAAAATAATGGATAGTCAATTTCTGTGCTTCTGTATGCTCAGTGCTGTTGACATACCATGTTACTCATTCCCAAAAGCTCCTATGACAGGCAAACTGACAGTGTTTTTACTTCAACTGTGAATTTATTGTGTTGGAAGTGTAGTAGTATTGCCATTAAGTTTTTCTTATATAATATTACACACAATTAAATTGGAATCTGAATGGTTGGGGATCTCTATTGCTTTTTAAATAAAAGTATGGTAGTCAAACCTTTTTGAAGAATTTGACAAAAGCTAATTGTGTGTTTGTGTGTTTTGTTTATTTAGGATTATATATTGGCTTTGTATACACTAGCACATATCAAGCAAGACAGATGAACTCCAGCCTTGTGTGCACTTTCAATTAGCCTACAAGATGCAATTTAGTATGAATCCCAGGCAGCTTTGGAAGTGAAAGAGAAGTTTGAGATCTCTGGCTGGAAGCTGAACGTGATGACGGCCTGGTCTATGGTGGAGAAGTTGAAAATGGAGAAGAGGCATTCCAAAGAAGAGAGGAATGTGGAACAGGATGCTGGGGACTGCAGTGCTGAATCTGAGGAATGGACAAGCTCAGAAAGTGAGCCTGAACAACAATGCTTCAAAAACAGCTGTAGCAATACTCAGTGGAGGGAAAAGGAAATTTCTACTAAACCACATAGGCAACTCTGTCGCTCTCCTTGCCTGGATCGTCCAAGTTTCTCACAGAGCAGTATCCTTCAGGACTTGAAACTGGAAGAGTGTAAAATAAACTTGGACAAGGAATACCAGGCTAAAATGGATTTTGCTTTAAAGCTTGGGTATGCTGGAGATCAGATCCAGGCAGTGCTGAACAAGTTGGGAGCAGATGCTCTGATCAATGATATTTTGGCAGAACTCGTGAGACTTGGCAACAAGGGTGAATCAGAGGGACAAGGCAGTGTCGGCAGTAGTAGTGGTACTCTGGTGCCCAGGGGTCCTTGCCCAAAGGAAATGGCCAGCCCTGAACTGTCACTTGAAGATGAAGTAGTGGATAACACTGACAACTTAAGACCAATTGTCATTGATGGAAGTAACGTGGCTATGAGGTAGGCTTCAGTGTAAGCATTTTTTAAATAATACACCAGTATGTTTATATATAAATATTCAATTTGAATGACAAAATCATGTTATGTTGACTATATGCTCCTGTTTAATTTCTGGTTTCTTTCACCCACTGATCAAAATATGTTGATACTCCTCTTTTTGCAATCCCTTCCCCAAAAATCAGCTCCCTCCATATCATTCTTTTTTGCAGTCCTCTGCTCCCATAAATCTATTAATTAACCAATAAATAAGAGTTTAGTTATACTGCAGCAAAGGTTTTGTTTTTAAGTTTTTGAAACACTTTATCAGTCTTGTTCTAAAATATCTAATGGCAGCTTGGACATCAGAGTAGGTGGAAGAGTTGTTTTAAAAGCAGCTTGATAGCCAAGACGAGTAGTCTCAGCTAAGGGTGCTTACCATGGGGAAAGGATCAGTCTATCTTTGGTCTTGTTCAACTTGAAACAGGAGGAAATTCCCTAGCCAAACCGTATGGTGTGGTTCACTGATGTCAAGATTTCTACAGGCAGTGCTAATCCAACAGGCATTCTTTATTATTGCCTTCTCAATTTTCTTTTAAAGAACTCTTAACCTGAATTTTTTTAACTAAATTCAGAACATTTTTTTTGATAAAACACATTTAAAATTTTATGCTTTGAAATAAATTAAAAATTTCATTTGGAAGTTCTTTATAAAGGCTTTTTTGTTTCCCTGTTGCTGGTTGAATGGGTATTTTGGATGGGCTTAATAACAACACGACAAACATTTCTCTGTTCAACTATTCTCCCCCCCTCCCCCCTTTTCCCCCTGTGCTGACATCTCCCTGCTACATCTTCAGTTTCAGCTTTTCTGCTGAGCACTAAGTTACAGGGCCTGGGGAAGAGCATGCATATGAACGGTCTGCTGCAGAGTTCATAACTGATATCATCCTGACCATCAACATAACAATGCAATTGACTGTACACAAAGTAATCTTTAAAAAAAAACAACATGTATTTTCTTTAATCACTTTCATTTAAAGTAATCTTGGGTGTTACTTGCGACAATAGTGGGTATAAGGCCTCATCTATGTGATGTGTTGGGATGTGGCTATATTGGTATAAAGTTGCTTTATACTGGTATTTCTGTACGAGATGTGGAATACGCTGTGGTGTTATAAGGCACTTTTTATACCAGTGTAACTGTGTCCACATTAGAGATTGAGCCAGTGTAAACAAAACAAAACAAAACAACATACTCCTTACTGAAGTAATTATAATAGTACAAAATGTGTATAGACCATAGAATCATAGAATCATAGAATATCAGAGTTGGAAGGGACCTCAAGAGGTCATCTAGTCCAACCCCCTGCTCAAAGCAGGACCAATTCCCAGCTAAATCATCCCAGCCAGGGCTTTGTCAAGCCGGGCCTTTTGTCAAGCCAGCAGTTCTCAAATAATGGGGTGTGCCTTCCTTGGAAGGCACAGGAATGTGTTAAGGGAGGTACAAGCTGTGAGCTTTTTTTTTTTTTAAGAGCGTCTGCTGTCAGCCCAAGGCACCTGGGGCTTGTGCAGAAGGGCTGTGCCCACTCAGGAGGTGGGGGGAAGGAGATAAAGGGAATAGCTGGAGCACCATCACCAGGGAGGGTCACATGCCTCTCACCAGACACCGGGGGAGTGGGGGGCCTCGCACATTCAGAAGGGAACCGCGGCGGCGAAGGAGCAGAACGCCAGCAGCTCCTCTGGCGTGGCTGTACTGTCTCCATCCCTGCCCCCAGCCTTTCCATGCAGCTGCCTCACCTGGGGTCTATACAGCTCCGCCGGAGGACAGGGGTGGGGGCGGTACCAGTACAGCTGCGCCGGAGGAGCTGCCAGTGTGGGGCCACCCGGCGGCCCCACGTTCTGCTCCTTTCGCCGCTGCGGTTCAGGAACTGAACTGCGGGGCTCTCCCAGGAACCACAGCTGGGATCCAGTGCCCCGTGCTGGCAGCTCCTCCGGTGCGGCTGTACCGGTACTGCCCTCATCCCAGTCCTCCGGCGAGGGCTGTACAGACCTCCTTTTGCCTGAAATCAGTATCCGGCGCAGTGGGAGGACAGAGCCCCCCCAAGTAACGTGGTATGGGGAGTGGATGGGAAGAGCATGGGGGCCCAGGCTGGGGGCGGGGAGGAGTCATGTGGGGGGTCATGTGGGGAGCTCACATGCCCCACCTTTAGCTGGTGCCCCCCTTTATGTCCCTCTCATGAATCACCCACCTTCCCCTCCCCAATCCCTCACGTGGAGGGGGGGCCCTCCGGTTGTCAGCCCCCTGGTGGCAGCAGCAGCACAAAAGTAAGGGTAGCAATGGGACGTTAAGTCTGCTGTAAAAATTGATATTTGTTAATGTCACTTTTCACATTGCCATCCTTACTTCTATGCTGCTGCTGGTGCAGTGCTGCCTTCAGAGCTGTATGACCGTCCAACAGCCCCTGCTCTCTGTTCTGCCTTCAGAGCTGGGCAGTAGTACATGTAACTTTTTGGAGGAGAGGGGGTGTAAATGACTACAGACATAAAGAAGTGGGGCCTGATCAAAAGTTTGAGAACCACTGGTATAGACCAGATCAAATAGAAATATTATTTTCAAATTGATGGTATATACCCCTTTAATCAAGATATGGTAAGAAGTAAAATAGTAAACATTTTTCATGTTTGTTTCTTGGACAATGTAGCTAAACTGCCAAATAAGTTACATATTTAGGGCCATATTCTGTCCTGGTAAAAACAGCAGCATCTCCCCAGTTTAAATACTTTGATAAACAGAGCTGAACTTGGTGCTTAGACTCCCTTTGCTGGTCCCTATGAAGCAAGCTCTTTAAGAGTAGATTTTCATTTTGAGGTGAACACATGGGATTAAAGTTCAAATGTTCAGCTTTGGTCTGGTATTTTCTCCAAATTTTGGAACGATCAAAGATATCCAGTCAAATATAGAGAACTTGCCCAGAAATAGGACCACGTGATTTTCAGTCACTGACTTTGCTTTTGATTCTCCTCCAATGGCTTTTTATCAAAGAGAGGTATATGCATTCATTCTAGTATTTCACTTGATATTTTTTCATGGGCTTTCATATTGCTTACGTATGGATTGTTAAAGTTGCGTGTTTTTTGGACTATGTTGATCAGCTGTCGTTTTAATTATGATATTGGTATTAGTAAAACAGACCACATGCAAACATCTGTTTCTCTATAGAGTAGACAGCGGTTCTCAAACTTTTGTACTGGTGACCCCTTTCACATAGCAAACCTCTGAGTGTGACCCCCCCTTATAAATAAAAAACACTTTTAAATATATTTAACACCATTATAAATGCTGGAGGCAAAGCGGGGTTTGGGGTGGAGGCTGACAGCTCGCGACCCCTCCCCCCCCATGTAATAACCTCATGACCCCTTGAGGGGTCCTGACCCCCAGTTTGAGAACCCCTGGAGTAGAATCTCAGAGTTATGAATAGCAGAGTTACGAACTGACCAGTCAACCACACACCTCATTTGGAACTGGAAGTACACAATCAGGCAGCAGCGGAGACCAAAAAAAAAGCTAATACAGTACTGTGTTAAACATAAACTACTGAAAAAAGCGGGGGGGAGTTTTTTAAAAAAAAAGATTTTACAAGGTCAGAAAACTGTTTCTGTGCTTGTTTCATTTAAATTAAGATGGTAAAAGGCAGAATTTTCTTCTGCATAGTAAAGTTTCAAAGCTGTATTAAGTCAATGTTCAGCTGTAAGCTTTGGAAAAAACAATCATAACATTTTGTTCAGAGTTATGAACAACCTCCATTCCCAAAGTGTGATCATCATTATGAGGTTCTACTATATTACATTTGAGCATGAAAGAGGATGTCTTGATGAGCTTTTTATAATTCATGGCATTGCCTTTGGCTTTCCCTAAAACTATAGTTTTAACAAAGGTTAAGATTCATAAGATCGCTCATAAACAGTTTCCTTTATTTCTTCCCCAAAAAACAGTTTCATCAAACTTTTTAATACTAATTCTACAATATATTGTATAAAGCCTGTGAGATACTTGACAACACATCTTTGCATAAGGGAAAAAAAAAACACCACACTACACAAAATGACAAATCTGCTGGGAACATTTTGTTTTCAAGACATTGATTGAAGAATGTTTCCAGGTGTGGTGCATACCTGCTCTAAGGAAGTGGCAAGATGTATATTTCAGTGCATACTGTCTTATTTGTTTGCAGAAGACAGAATATGATTAACAGATTTCTTTAGTTAGTACTAATTTGTCCTGGCTTTAACTCAGTGTTTCCAGAACTTCTGAAAGCTGAGTGGCTACTGCTGTCCTTCTCCTTCAGGAAAATGAAATCAATTGCACCCCCTGTGATTTTTTCCCCACAACTCCAGATTGTAGTGTTAAAAGTGTACACATCTTAATTATTCTATCTTTCATTCTCTCCCTCCCACTAGTCTTAAATGCCCCCTTGCTCCCTCCTCCACACTTTGGGAAATGGACGTTTCATAATGTGATACCTCTCATCATCTATGCTTTGATGGGCAGTAAAATAGTTAATGATGTTGATGTTTAGGGTGAGATTCTGTGCTATGCCTCTCAGGCCTTGTCTATCCAGAAAAGTTTCTTTGATATAACCTATGGTGTGAATTTAGAAGGTTAAAAGTATAACTATACCTGTTTAATTATATCAGGATAACTGGTAAAACTTTCCCATGTAGACAGTCCCTAGGAGGTGAGCACAGAACTCACAGCCGAGGGAGTGGCAAAGTAGCTTGAACCCACCTTTGCACACTCCCAATCCTGGGGTGCTCCAGGGTTTAAGAAGTTCCCAGTCTCTGCAGCCTCCCAGTTCTGTCTGAAATCTTCATAGGGCTGCGTACTATGACTGCATACTGGCCCTGATAAGCAAAAAAGGTAGTTCCATGTTTATGTATACAGAGACTGGGCAAAGGCCCAAGTGTAAATTCTGACTCACTGTGTAATATTTTTGTTGAACAATACACCACAACTGTTTTGTAAATCAATACACCATGAAGTAGTAATTGGAATGTGAAAATAAAAGCTGTGCCACTAATAGCAAGTTTTATCTTTGCAACTGTGCAGCTCTATAATGAAATACTAATTTTCTAATGTAAAAGTGCACTGCCCAGCTATGTAATGTTAATTGTCAGTATTGGCTAATGAGAGAATCAAAGCAGTATTCCTAATATTTATTTGCCAGAATATCAGGAACTGGCAAAATTAGTAGCAGTTCATGATTGCTTGATTGCTGCTTAATAACCCAACTAAATTTCTAAAAACTGCATTAATTTCAATGGACTGTTTATCTTTTGGAGTTTGTGGCTACCTGTATGTGCCCTAAACAATCACTAGGCTGTCAGTTTGGAAGGTGCAGGCTTAATGGGAAAACCCTAAATGAGGAATGTTTTGGCTTACAGCTCTGATATGTAAAAAGCCTGATGTTGTTTGTAAGTACAGTAACTCCTTGCTTAATGTTGTAGTTATGTTCCTGAAAAATGCGACGTTAAGCGAATCCAATTTCCCCATAAAAATTAATGTAAATGTGTGTGTGTGGGGGGGGGGGGTTAGGTGCCAGGGAATTATTTTTCACCAGACAAAAGACTATATATATACACACACACACATATACACAGAATAAGTTTTAAACAAACAATTTAATACTGTACACAACAATGATGATTGTGAAGCTTGGTTGAGATGGTGAAGTCAGAGGGTGGGATATTTCCCAGGGAGTGCCTTACTGCTAAATGATGAACTAGAACAGCTGAGCCCTCATGGATCAACACGTTAATGTAGCCTCAGACTCTACAAGGCAGTACAAATGGAGGGAGGGGAGACACACACCCTGTGAGTGTGTGAGAGAGAGATATGCATTGCCCCTTTAAATACACTGACCCCACTCTAAGTACATTGCCTTTTTAAGTAGATCAGCAAGTTGAGACAGCAGCTGCTACCAGCAAGCTGCCTCCGTCCTGAGCCCTGTCATCGTCCCCCCCCCGCCCTGTTCCTATGGAGAT